ATTATTAGTGCATGTAAGTATAGGCCTCGTTGAGCAAAGAAGATAAAACGCGGCGCGAAAAAATCGTTCCCAGTGGTGTTGTTGCTGTTGCTGTACACGCGTACACCCACCGCGCGTACGTATAATACTCGTTGGTACGGACACGAGTATATTTACAGCTCGTAAGTCGAGTCGATAAATATTTCGCTGATTTTTGCTGACGCGTAACAAAAAAGCATAATTCCTCGAGCATATCTATCTCGCACAAACTTCGACTGCATCGGTGGTGGTATCAGTGGGGCACAGAAGCCGTCGTCGTCGTCGTCGTCGTCATCGTGTGTGTGCATTAAACTCTATTGAAAATTTATGCGCCGCATCGCCCGAGAAGCTAGTAGTGAAAGAGACAGCATAAAAGCACCGTACAACCATATATACACGTATACACACACACATACACACGGCGTTGGTTTCTTTCCTTTCATGCAGCTTTTTTTGGTGCATTTGCAGCGGCAGCTTGACATTTGCATCGCGAGAGGAGAAAGAGGCAGCTGCTGCTGCTGCTGCGGTACGAAAAGGGAGAAAAAGATACTTTAAGCTTTTCGTGCAATGTATAAATGCACTCTCTGGCCGCTGAATATTTTATATTGGTTTTCTTTTTTCTTTTTTCTTCTTCTTTTTTCTCCTTCTTTTTTTGTTTATTCGTCTCTCTCTCTGCTGCACCCCGCCCGAGTGCACGAATGCAAATAAGTTTATAAAATTACAGTGGCTTCGTCTTTTTACAGTCATTACGCATTCATCGTGAACGTTGTAAACAGCGCGCTCGGCCCGGCGCGTTCTTTCAATTTTTTGCTCATACCTCTTTATCCCTCTCTCTCCCTCGATTATTAAAAGGGCTCAAAGGGCCGGGGCTTGAAATCGAAAAAAATGCCCATTCATCCGTGGGTCGCGCGCGCTCACTCAATGAGTAATTTAACGAGATGGATATTATGAAAAAAATGTAAAATGCAACAAAGTGTGCTCGAGCGTGTTTATTCAGGGTGACCTAATATGAGTCGGGGATCACTTCGGCCGACGAGGTTCCAAAAAAAAAAAAAATATATACCTGAGTGCTCTGTAGTAGCTCAAAACCCTGAATATTATACGACAGCTGAAGTTATTCGTACAAAAAATATGAAACCCGCCTACGTACTTCAAAAATTTAGGAATTCAAAAAATGCACCTGGGAAAGTGGAAGAAAAATCCGTTCTATAAATTGCAACAAAAAAAGAAAGTCGTTTCGATTTTAAGCCGGCCTTTGAGACCTTAATAAATATTGCATCGCCCAGCGCAAAAAAAACTCTCAACCGAGCTCGAATGAATTTTTTTTTCGTATTTTTTTATTTTGTCTGCTCCAAAAAACAGAATATTAATTTCGATTCGTTAGCCGCGAGTATTATAAGTGGTTTTCTCTCTAGCACCTTCTACACAGAGAGCGCGCCGGCATTTCCACGCGCGGGCATTATTAGGAGAGAGAGAGAGAGAAAAGTTCATTGGAACGTTTAAATTTTGTAGCGGAGCAAAATAGACGTACCAGCAGCAGCAGCAGCAGCAGCAGTAAATTGAAATACCCGGGCGAGAAGAGCGAATCGAAAAGCGCATCATGAAATCGTTCAAGTGGACACGCATTGAAAAGAGGAGAGCGTTCACGGCTCAATAGGTAGCAGAGGCAGCAGCAGGATGGGCTCGATAAAATTCATTAATTGAAAATCTGTGCGGTGGAATTTTTTCTCTAATGGTCAGCGCGGGCGCTGAATCTCTGCTACCGCTGCAAAGAGTCATTTGCGCGCGCCCGCGTAAAAAGAAGTAGAGATGCCTCTTGTTGGAGTATATTATATTCCGTCTCATCGGAGCGAAAAAAAATATTCTTATGGCCTCCCCCACGTTGCTGTCGAGCAAAGTGCGCGTGACTGGGGAAAAATACGAGAGACTGCGTGGAGGAGGGACTCGCGAGCTTGCAAGCTCTTAGACTCCTCCAAAGAGACGACGACGACTACGACGAGTGGCATAAGCCGCGCTCTCGCGAGCTCCTCTCGAGTGTTACACACGCACACGCGTATATATATACACGCTGGGATCTTCATTCTTATTTCGCGCAAGTAGTACTGCACACATAAGGATCGGGTTCAGAGCGCATAACTCCCTGCGAGTTATATCTCCTCTCGCTCGTACGTTTCCCACACATGTTACAGGACAGGTTGTGCGTGGGTGTGCGGGAGGAGATGGTCCGGATGGTCGGCGCCCCAGCTAATTTAGCCCGAAAATTAATTAGCAGCAGAGAGTAGTAGTGGTGGTAGTAGTAGTAGCTATGCTGTCTGCAAACCCAACTGGGCGAGAGAATCATCCCCGATGGACTTCTCGTTCTCGCGCGTGTCTATATACATAGGGAAATTTGATTAGCTATCCGCCCTCGGCTCCCTCAACCCCCCTCGCGCGATAGAGAGCTAGATTTACCTGTACTGGGGGGAGGGATGCACAACGGGGATGATGCAGTCATCATCAACTGCCGGGGAGCTATATTATTACACGTGGATGCGCTTGCCGCCGACGTATATACCTAGAGAGAGGCAGGCAGAGGAAATATCTTCATTCCGCTGTTTAATTTGAGCGGGCTGCGAGAGAATATTTTCCCGCGCGCTCCATCTCTTTTTTGATGAAAAAAAAACTAGCCGCCACTGCGAGCGGCTTTGTTTGACCAAGACAATAAGCCGCTTGGGTAATTACAACGCGATTTTCCCCGAAAACCCGTAGAGAGAGAGAGAGAGAGAGAGAGAGAGATAGGGAAATATTTTCTATGATATATACGTATATTGGCACACGCTACCACTGCAACGCCGGCATTCATCAAGAGGGATTTTATATTTTTTGCCTCTCTCTCTCGCTCGCTCTTATATTCCTTACCCCAAAAAAGTCAACTTTTTCAACTCTACTCACTGTCTCTCTCGCTCGCCAAGCTGGAGTTTACCCACAAAAGCACAACTCGAAACTTCGACGAGTGTATATGCACACGCACGTGCCTCCTCCTCCCCCTCGTGCTATGTACATAACTTCTCAAACTTTTCATGCTCCTGCACGTTCGTGCACATACACACACACAGAGTCATTATTTACGTGTCTCTCTCTCTCTGCACTGTATCAGTCGCACATGTACAATAGCCCGCAGAGAAAAAGGAGAAATTTTCAATCCTTTACATTTTTTTTGCTTCTTCTCTCCGGTCTCTCGTTTTGGCAAGGAGACACTTCTTCCTTTCCAGACTGACGCGCTTATACTACTACGTATATAACGTACACGTGCTCAGCTCTCTTGTGCTACTGCTGCGACCGATGGGTTTATATTTACCGAGCGAGTGTGTATGTGCTCGACGTACCAGAGAGACAGAGAGCTCTGCGATTTTCCGACGACGACGAGCTTGGATTGGCCTCGAGCTAGCCCCTCGCGTACACGCATACGGGAAAAACAGGCCGCGCAATTAGACCTCTATGCTCTCGAGAGCGAGCAAACCACACCCCATCCTCATCCTCCTCCTCCCTTGCTGAGCGAGACGTCATCTTCGCGAGGTCTTTGTCACATACACACACACTCACTTGCACATGTACTCATACGCTATAGGGCCGTGTTCGAGCTCGAGCGCACGCTTATTTGGCCCTGGTCCAGGCCTTTATAGCTCACCACTGCGACCCCTCGCCGCCGTGTACGAGAGACGAGAGAATGTCCATTACGTCCATTAGTGGTGTGCGCTAAACTCTTTATTGCCTCCTTCGCTGCTGCTGTTCCATTGTCGAGGCGCTCCGAAAAGGGCTTGCGGAAGTGCCATTATTTCGATATATAACGCGCGCCAAACAGCCCATCGGTTTGTGCTGTTTTTTTTCTCTTTCTGTCTCTCTATCCGAACGATGTGCGCTCTCGAATTTCCACCTCATTATGTACAAATTTGAATCGCGATATATAGAGATCTCGATGTTCGCTGCGGGATTCGACTGCGCGCGCGGTACGGGCACCTGTTTCCGATTAATTGCGTTTTCGGTATATATTACCGCGCATAGACTGCCAAGCCGTGTGTGTGTGTATACGTCTGAATTTCTGTAAATGGTGACACTGCGCGCTGCTCCGCGCGCGGCGTCGCTTTTGGCGTTCGTCCAACGATACTGGGAGAAAAAAACAGCGAATTCGAAACGCACTCGGTTTGGGTAGCGTGTTCGTGTTTTGCCGCGCGCATATACAGAGATATACGCAGAGCTCGAGTAAAATCGCGTGAAATTATGCCGCTGGCGGGACCCGTGCTGCAAGCTCGCGCGCGCGGGAGATTGCTATCAATGTGCCGCGGTCGAATTGAATTACACAAGGGAGGGAGCGAGGAAGAAGAAGAAGGGGGTCACCGATATAGGAGTTGGAAATAAAACGAGAGAGAAGGAAAATAGAGTTAAAGCGCCGCGAGCGCGCGAAATGTACTACTCGATAAAAATAATATTGTTAGGAGACGCGCGCCGCAGCGGAGACACGGTGACACGGAGAGATAGGCTGTCGCGCAGAGACAGACAGGCGGAATAGAAAGAGAGAGAGAGAGAGAGAAAAAATAGCAAAACGAAGAAAACTCGAGGTATATACAGACGGCAAGTGCAGAAACGAGTAAATGCCTTTCGGTGTGTAGAACGAAATTGTATGTTTGTGCGGGTGTCGGTGAGTTTGCTTGTATGTGTATGAAGACAGAATCGCGCGAGATAAATAGAGAGACGAACGAACGAACGAAGTGAACGAACGCGCGGACATCCGGGAAACGGAATTCCCCTCTCGTTAGGAAGTGCCAATGTCGATATCGCAATATGCCACACACATATATATATATAGTTATTATGTACCGAATTGTACACACACTATTATATACGTATGGAACAAAAGAATTTTCGTGCAGCAATTCATATATACATTATACTCGAGCGATAATAACGATAATAACCTCTGTGATTTTTGTTTCTGTGTTTTTTAGATGAGGACTCGGAGCGGAGGTCTTTGACGCGAGGAGTGTGGCAACGACAACAACAATAACAACAACAGCAAAAACAGCAGCAACCCCCCGAAAGAACAAACAAATATACGCGAATGATGCACCACCAGCGCCGTCAGAAGCCACCGCCGGAGCGCAGAAAATAAGAAATAGCTCGCACGCGCGCGTGTCTGTGCCGAAGAAAAATCAATCCTCTTCCTATCTGGCTCTGCTCTTTTTTTTCGCCACCCGTGTGCCGTGCTGCTGCTGCTTTTTTATACCCATGTCGAGATAACACATACGCATCGGCGCACGCACGCACGCAGCCCGTCTACCTTCGCATAGCAGCGCACTTTTTTTTTGCTTCAAGAGACAGCCCGAGGGAAATCTCTCTCTCTCTCGACTTCGTGCGTGTGCATGTACCATCTGTGATAATATATAGAAGAAGAAGAAGAAGAAGAGCAGCCGAGTTTGTCATATACAAATAGAAAGGAGGCAAATATCGTTACATTGATATCGTTCATATTGCGGCGACGAAGCAGTAGCAGACAGCGACGATGATGGGCTTTCCAAGACGACGCTCGCTCTGGCTGAAAGTGGCCATCCTGGCCGGTGCCGTGTGGCTGACAGTATGTTTCCTGCTCTACACGGAGGACAGACAGGCGGCCGCCGCGGTGGCCGTGGACGATCAGCAGCAACACGAGGCGCAACAACTGGTGGGCGCCGCCGCAGGTCCACCGCAGCCAATTCAGATGGCCAACGGTTTCGTGCCCCCGCAGGTGCAGTCGATCAAGAGAGAGACCCAGGGCAACTCGGGCCAGAGCAAGTCCAAGATGAATAATCAGGCGGGACCCGAGCAAGGTGAGCGATAATTGCATTTTTGTGCTTTTCTTTGAGAAACAAAATTAAAAATAAATAAATAAATAAATAAAATAAAGCGAGAGAAGGAATTATTAAAGTCGGAAGATTGTATCGTCTCTCTCTCTTTTCTCGTTGGGCTTTCAACTCGAATCCCAACGGGGCGAACGAGCGAGACTTTGACGAAGCGAAACTGCAGCAGCAAGTTTATTTCACACGGCTTTCTCTCTCTCTCTCTCTCTCTCTCGACATATTACCTCTCACTATACTATATACTATATACCTGTGTCTGTCTGTCTGTTTAAAGGTGGCGGCGTGCTGGTGGCACCGAGGGATCAAGACGCCTCGGCGCCCGGCGAGATGGGTCGACCGGTCGTCCTCCCGACGAATCTCACTGCGGAAACGAAGAAGCTCGTCGACGACGGCTGGATAAATAATGCCTTCAATCAGTACGCTAGCGATTTGATTTCCGTGCATCGCTCGCTGCCCGATCCTCGCGATCCATGGTGAGTTTCTCTCTCTCTCTCTCTCGCTTTATTTTTATCTATCTGTATATACTTTGCTGCCTGCAGCACAATTGCGCGAAATTAGAGATTCTGGAAGGAGGAGGAGAAGGAGGAGAAGGCAAGATTGATCACGCGCTGTATGTAATAAATTTCTCCGGCCACTGTAACATCTCATTTGATTCCACGTAGGTCAAATATTGGCCCAGCGGCGCGCGCGGGTGTATGTATATAAACCGATCGAGCCTTTATGTACTCGTCGTTTTCTTCTTTTTTTTTTATATCCACTCGTACGTATAGCTATACGCACAGAGTCGAGAGACTTAGGGGAGGCGAAACTCGAGAGTTCGAACCGAGTCCGAGAGAGCTGCTGGAGAGAGAATCGCGTGTAACTAAGAAAAGCAGCTCGAGACACAAAGGTGATTGTGACGACGAGGTCTTGAGGGAAATCAAGCCCACCAGGAGGCTGACTTTTTGATGTTGCTCGCTCGCTCACACACACTCTACGGACTCAACTGGCTCTTAAAGCACCCACACACACACACACACACACACACACACACACACACACACACACACACACACACAAGTTACCGCGCGGAGAGAGAGTTTACACTGCACGAGAGAATATATATTCGTCGCGGGCTAATAAAAGTAAAGGATAAAGTTGGATCGTTAGCTGCTCGCTCTCTTTATAAGAAATTCATGGAATTTGACGGCTAAATAAATGACAAGTGTATTATTATGCGAGCTGCTGCTGCTGCTCGGCATAGCGGAAAATGAAGCTGCAATCAGGATTATAAACGCGAGAATAGCGTCATCACGTATGCATAAACTTATTCGCGGTGCGCGCGTGCGCCTAGGTTATATAGAATAGAAGAGCTATTCAAAAGCTTTGTTAATTAATGGAAGGCTGCTCTCAATTCTGCTTCAATCGCAGATGAGCCGCGTCTCGTTCATGATGATGACGACTACGACGATGATCATGACGATCGCAAACAAAAGTTTAACGTATAGTTCGGCGCGATAAATCGTTGAAACGCGACGCGCTGATTAATAATGCCCTAATAATACGCGCAGCTCGTGCTGCTGCGTATAAAGGGGCTTTAAAGCTCGCGAGGCGATCATCTTCGTCGTCGTCGGCTTCGTCGAGCTAGGCCGCAACAGCGTATTCGGCTCTACGCGCGGGGGAGGAAAATTTATCGTCGCGATGAACTCTTACTCTCTTGCGCAATTTTCGTCGTATACGTATATATACGAACACGCAGAAGCTCGCCCCCATTCCTCCTTTCCTAGCAAGCTCGCGCGTGTGCTGCACTTACGTTGCAACTTCCTTAAAACGAGAATAATGCCGCACACGTACGTACAGCAGCAGCATGTGCCTGGGTTTCGGGAGCTGGAAATTTTCGTGATACTACTGCTAGCTCGTAAATTGGCGCGTTTAGCGGCGAAGGGAGGGAGGGAGTTACACACACGCTCGTGTTGTAGTAAGTTTCTCACATGCAGCTGCAGCAGCAGCAGAATCGTGTCCGGGGTAATGTACGGAAAGCCGCAAGCTTCCTCTTGCTCTGCGCTTCTCGGAGAAGTAACAGCGGCACTAAGAGTCATAAGTAGAGAGGACCACCACCACGAGTAGTAGTAGCAAAGGCTCATGCGGCATATAGAGAAATTAACGCGCTTTGCGGAATATTAATTATACCCTTTGGTATGCGTGCGCGAATATTGAGCGCGCGACGATATCGGAGAAAACGGGATTGCCGATGAGTGTGTCTCCGTCCCTTCCACGGCGCCTGATGTAAGGTGTCCGATCCCGAAGAAGCGGCGCCTGTATTGTATATAGATGTGGTGACGAGTGGCGCGTCGTCCGAATGTAGTACTGTGGCGTGGAGAGGGGAGTTTCAAATAAGGGCGAGCTGCCGATTGATTGCGACGATGGGAGTTGGAAGCTGTATCGTATAGCCGAGCATCGCTTAATTACATTATATGCATTAGGCTGGGGACCAACAATACCATTTTTCCTATTGAAAACTATAGATTAGTTGTTAAAACAATGAGAAGGATATAATTTTGTACAAAAAGCCATCATTTATCATTTATGAGTTTGTGAATTGTGTTTTGATTGCGTGTTTACAATACAATTCGGCTAAGCCGCCTCGCGGCCAGAGCAAGAGGCTTCTATTCGTGTGGATACTTGAATTAATTATTATTATTTGGTTTTAAATCATCAATGAATATTTGCTCTTTTAAATTTTTATACGAGCTGCTTTCCTCTCGCTTTTTAACAAGTAAAAACGTCACATAGATCAGAGAAGTATAGAGACCGTCACTTTCTCCGCTTTTTCACCTGCACTTTGTATCATACGTTCGACTCGTTGAACCTCGGTCGCGTCGACGACGCGCTTTTTATTAATCGCACGAAAAATCAACGCGCCACATCCGGTGTGCGCCGGCACTACCACTACTAATACCAAAAAAAATCCGTCCGGACGAAATTATTATATACACGTAGCGGGCTCGATATATCGTTCTCAAATGTCGTCGACGCAGGCGAAAAAAAGCACAGTCGCTCGCAACGATCGAGCAATCAATTTTTCGTCACTTTTTCGCGCACGGCTATAAAAGTTTCGGATACGATGTATAGGTGTACGCGCACACGTATAGCATATAGTAGGAGCTTCGAGCGAGAGGCTTTGTACTTTTTGTCGCCTCTTTCTCTCTCTTTAAAATACGTATGCGGGATGCATACGATAGCGAGAGCTCCGCAATCGCTCGTTATGAAATTGGGTAGAAACAAACGGATGCCTCGTTACAGTTCGTACTATATAGTTAGTCGTACCAGTAGTAGTACACACGTCGCTCGATAATGTTGCCTCTCCGTGTACGTGTGTGCTCGAATTATCACACAGGGATATGTTATAGCGCACAGCGAGGTCTGTTAGTAGTTGCAGCGTGTGCAGTGTGCACATAACATTACTCGGGGATCGATTTGCAAACTGCCGTGTTGTTTGCCAGTCTCTCTCTCTCTCTCTCTCCTTCTCTCTTTGGCAGTCGGGCATTGTTACCATTAGCCTAATGCCTGTGTATAGAGCTGCTAGCTAGCTACTAGTGGTAGTATACTAACCGAGAGAGCCCGGCGACGCACTCGACCGTACATACTGTGTGCTGTGCAGTGCTCAAAGAAGTGCAAATCATTCGATAATATTGCTCTATTTGGCTTTTCGGCTTTTTTCGCTTCATTGGGCGCGCACTGCTGTTGTACACAGAGCTCCTTTTCAATACCCATACTATATATAGGTACTGGTAGCAGCGATCCGTGTTGTGTAGTACGACGAGCCTAATAATACTCGCGGCGTCGTAGCCCAGAGAGAGAGAGAGAGAGAGAGAGAGAAAAGAGAGAGGACGCAACAAAAAAGTTTTTAATAATCTACGGCATTGTTGGGGCTGCTGCTGCGGCGGCAGCAATGAGGAGCAGCGGCAATGCAACACGTTCGAGAGAGCATCATGGTCCAGAAAGTTTTAATTCATTTCCGCTTGAAAACTTTACGTTGTAGGTATGAATGTTGTGAAAATATGAGCCACTACCACCACTAGTACTGTTGCTGCAATGCCTCGAGAGCATTTCCATTCAACGAGGAAGTTTGCAAAGGCATCGTAATGCAGAGCAAACTGCAGCAGCAGCGGCTCGCGTACACGCACACAGATCCGTATATCTATATCTACGTATTTGCAAATCTTGTGCAAGCAGCGGCAGGAAATATCGCGTTTGAAAAATATGCCGCAGTCCCGATCGCGACGGCCTATCCCCATTGTGTTGCACGTATATATCGACGGCGGGGCCAACGACGATAATATAATGACGAGTATGCCCGCGTACCAGTATGTGCACATACAAGCAGTACCCGTGGTGGTCCTCTCGACTCCGCGGCTGGCTTGTAACGATGCCTCTATATATGTAGGCAGCTTTGCTTCGTCGAGGTCCGCACGTTTACGAGTACGCACTTTATAATACCTGCAGCGTAGCACAGTAGTAGTAGTAGTAGTACCCCCGGAGCCTCTAGTCTCTCTCTCTCTCTATGCAGCTGGATGCTGCGCAATAAACGACGATACTGCCGGGGCACACAAACACACAGACACACACCCACACGTATTATGGCTAATTGAGAATCTCTTCGAGTGGAACGCAAGAAATTTCTCCAGCCGTGGAGAGCAGTGGCAGCAGTGGCGGCAGCAGTATAAACTTGATTTCGACCGATAACTGAATTATAGCCCCATTGTAACGGATGCCGTTTGCTAATTTCGATTCTATCGCCGTCGTTATACCTATTCGGTGCGGCCGGGCCTGGGCTACTACTCGCGCGTCGCGTATATATGGTCCTTTCCCCCCAATTTGTGTGCAGCTATGCTGTGTATTATTATATACGTAGATATATATTTGCGCTTGTTAGTGCTCTGCTCCTCTCTCACTGCCGCTGTGTTAGTGTGCTATACACACCGACGCGTCGCATCAACCCTCGCTCGCCGAGAGAGCCTCTATATATACCATAATATGGCAAAGGCCTATTTATTACTCGCATTAAAACGTAAATTGTATATACTTTTAGCGGGGGCCCGAGCGTCGTTAAAGTACCGCTCGCACACACACAAACAGCGACTTGCCTTAATGTCGTCGAAAGTACTCTCCGTAGAGAGAGTGAGAGAGAAAGACTTTAAACGGTCATAAAAATAAATTGCATGTTTATTTAGCAAAAACATATATTACGTTTTATATGCATCAACTTTTTTTTCTGAGCGCAAAAGGACTCCCACACGGAGCAGCGGCAAAAAGCTCAGCGAGAGAGAGAGAGGAGTGCAAAAACGCCGATGTATTAACAGAGAGAGAGAACGCTAACGATCGTGACCTACATGCGAGGAGTTCATTATTTTAATTTTTTTCCCACGCGCCCGAGCGGGCGTTATGTCGGAAAACGTCGAGTGAACGAGAGAGAGAGAAAAACGGTCCGCGT